GCTTCTGAAACATCAAGGTCACATAAAAGAGGGAAAATGGTCATGATACAGGGTTCCATGATTACTGGTGGTATTGCTTTATCATATTGGCTTGATTTTGGATTCTCTTTCTTGGAGCCAAGTTCTATAGCCTGGAGATTTCCAATCGCTTTCCAGATTGTCCCAGCCATTCTGTTACTTGCGTTTATTCTCGAGCTTCCAGAATCTCCTCGGTGAGTACCTTTCTTCCAATGTTCTACGTCGGCCAATCTAACAAAATGTTCAGTTGGCTCATTTTGAAAGGAGAGGAGACAGAAGCTAGGAGCGTTATTTCAGCACTTGCAGGTCTTCCTGAAGATGATCCCTCTGTCTGCACTGAAGTCACTGAGATCAAAGATACAGTTCTCGAGATGGCCAAGTACGGTTACTGTGATCTCTTCACTATGGGCCGTGACCGCAACTTTCACCGTGTCGTGCTGGCATATTTTAGTCAAGTATTCCAACAAATCTCTGGTATTAACCTCATCACCTATTATGCGGCTACAATATTTGAAAAGTACATGGGTCTCGATGGTCAAACTTCACGTATCCTCGCAGCCGCCAACGGAACAGTGTATTTTGGTACTTCCTTCCTTGCCATCCGGGTAATCGAACTATTTGGTCGCCGCAGACTCATGTTAGGAAGCTCAGCAGGTTTGGTAGCAAGTATGGTCATTCTCGCTATCATGACCCACCTTTCCGAAACCCATATCGGCGGAGCAGGGCCTGGATTCGTCTCCTGCGTATTCCTCTTCATCTTTAATACTTTCTTCGCTATTGGCTGGCTGGCAATCCCTTGGTTGTACCCAGCTGAAATCGTACCCCTCAAAATCCGCGCACCAGCCAATGGTCTTTCCACATCCGCCAATTGGATTTTTAATTTCATGGTTGTGATGGTCACCCCAGTTGCATTCAATTCGATCGGATACAAAACCTATGTTGTTTTTGCCGTCATCAACTTCGCTATAATACCAGTTGTCTACTTCTTCTACCCAGAAACCGCATATAGGAAGTTGGAGGAAATTGATGCCATATTTATTAAGGCAAAAGGCTGGTCTCATGTAGTTCAAGTTGCGAGGAAGGAACCGTTAAGATATGGAAAGAATGGAGAGTCCATCAGTAGTAGTATCAATACGGAGGAAATTTATATTGGGGATCAAGAGGTTAACAATCCGAGAGTGGTAGAAAAGGATGAAATTGGAAGTGGTAATGGAACGGTGACGCATAATGAGAATATTAAGGATGGAAAATTAAGTGCAGCTACTAGTTACGGGGATTTAGGGAACGATAAAGGCACTTCTAAGGAATAGACTGAGGTGGTGTAACGGTTGGACCATGAGTCCAGGAGGTGGCTTTTTTTTATATACCCAACAATAGCAGCCATTGGTGGCTTTAATGCCATGTTCTTTTCTCCGCCCGATAATCATTATTTTCCACCCAGTACCAAAAGTTGAATAGCCATCGTTGTCGTCGCCTATTACGTACGAAGCTTAAAATCAGTATCATCTCCGGGGTGCATAATATTCAGCGCTTCAAATCTAGTATGTGATGAAGTGAAATCACTCTCATATTTCTAGGTTGATTTTTCATATAAAAAAAGTTCTGTTATGACATACGCCAGTATAAGGAAGATGACAATGAAGATGCTGGACCAGGAGATCTGACGTTGATGAAGAAGAAATAGAAGAAGAGCAAGAAGGTGGATATTGTATGCCACCCCTTTCTTTCGCTTTGAGCGCATTTACTGATCTTTTCCAAAGCAATAGTATAACCACAAACATTAAAAATAAGTTAAGCCGCACAAATCGGTGGCTTTCAGTCAAGAAACGACAATTGTGGCCGAAAATGGAGAGGTCACCAGTACGCCGTCACTTTCTCAGGCTTTGGGCGCATTTACTAATCCTTTCTAAGGCAATGAGGACAATGCAATTGCGAACAATGATGATGGATTAGGCGATCTGTCAACGATGAAGAAAAAAAAAGCAAAAGGTTCAGGGAGACGAAATGAAGAAGTTACAATAAAGGAAGACGGAGATTAAGCGGTAGGTTCGATGGGAGGGGGTAGGCTCGGTAGGTTCGGCTTGTGCTCGTACACAGTTTTTTATTCGTTTTTCCGTAGACGATTTTGAGAGAACGGGTAGGTTAATAAAAAAATAATTCACCCATATACAGACGATGATAATTTTCGCGAAGCACGACGTTCATATGGCATCTGTACGAAACTCGTCGATGATAGTGGATGGACTTGTTTGGAAGATACGCAGATGCCCGGACTTTTCTAAAGTCCTGAATACGACGAAACTGTCTCATAGGGCACAGAACTTACTGGAGCGGACGACGCCGACAACGCAGATGGCGCTTTTCCTTTCACGGGTAAATATTTATCAGGAGTGAACTCTGATGGCGAGGTCATCCATCAAGAGTGGCGAGAGAAGAAGGGGACTCTGACCGGGCATTGGGTGAAAGTATTTGGTCCTGCGAAACATGCACTTTCCGGCAACGATCTTAATGTTCAGGACACCATCGATAGGGCCAACATCAACAAGAGAAGATGTACGGCACAAGAGACGAGGCGGGATGAGAATGGAAAGAAACCTCATCTTCCACCAATGTTGGCGGCAGAAAAGAATAGCGAATGGAAAGAGGAGGCGAGGGACTCTACACCATGCACCGAGTGGAAGCCTATGGATGAGATTCTGGCCATTGCAAAGATGTCCAAGGGAGAAGGCAAAGGCAAGACAGCAGCTATATATCGACACTACGCCGCATCTTACGTCTACTCCTATTGTGGGATTTTATACCGCGAATTTTGGCCATTTACAAAGATTAGAAGGATGATGTTCGTGTCCTAAGTGACGGCAATATCAAGCGGGAGGCTGCGGATTCACTCAAGCTGTCGTATCAGCTTTATATAGAATATCCAGAAAGTATCACAGCTCAAGTAAAACTTGCCCTTGGTATTTCTAACCGCCATAAAGACACTCATAGCCTCACAGCATGCAGAATGGGAGATTTATATACGGAGGTCCCAAAACCAGCAAGGAGATGTCAACTATGTCAACGGGGCTGCTCTCTTAAATTGCGGTCTTTCTGGCGATTCTAAGTTCAATGTTAAGAATGTGTCCGCTGAGACGTTTGGAAAGAAACAAATGAAGCAAATGGCGGATGATCTTGTCGTCGCGAAAGTCGAAGGAGAAAACCAGAGAGTGCGTTTGTTGTTGCAAGCGTAGGAGAAGTTCCGTAGTGTCGACGCAAGCCAAATAAAAAAGGCCAACAAGGAGATTCGCCGGTTGAATAGTCGGCTGAGTGATCTTCACAGGACCAAGGATGCTAAGATTGAGAACTTGAAAGCCATGATCGCAGCGATGAAGGCATCATGTACTTGTGATGGGAAGGACCCCGAAACAGATGGTGAGTCTTCTGAGAACAAAAACTCGAACGATGATGAAGGAGATGAAGTCTCTCTGCGTAAGGTATAGTTACGATTAACTCATATCTGCGGGGTATTTGGACAGTGCCATATTTCAATGAGGGGTGGAATCGGTACGAAAAGAGGATGGTAAAGGATGGAGATAAGGTTGTTCTCGTAAGACCCCCTACAGTATCTGTGGACTCCATACATCCAGTAACAATAGGATTCTGGGACCAAACATGCATGGGTGTCTCACCTGGCATTCTGAAGGCCTTCAATGGTGACTACGATGGAGATGAGATGCATCTTTGCCCGGTTTATTCTCCAGGGGCGGTTAATGAATGTAGTAACTGGAATTGTACCCCCGAGCAAAGTGTCAGAGAGACCTAGATTCATATGTGATGCCTCTATATACCGAACAAGAAAGCTGGAAATATTCATTTATGCTACATTCCGCCATGACATTTAATGGGATGAGGTATGGGATTGAGCAGCCACTATTGGCAGAGGAGACCCGAACTAGAGCGGAACATATAGACGGATTGCGATCTAGGTAGGGCACCGATGTGGGATCTGACGGATTCATATCGGAGACGATACGTAGAATTTCGGATACAAACATACAGCAATTGTCTCAACCTCACGTGGGAGATAGGTCCAGAACAGCTCGACTTGCATCATCATGTGTGATCCGCAAGAAAGATGGGACTCTAGGCATCGCATCTAGGATATCCTTCATAACTATAACGAATTGTGACATATAATCCAAGACGGAAATCCAGCAACCAAGGCTATTTCCACAATATGTGCGGGCGCACAGGAAATCCTTCTGGAAGGGCACCATGCCAAGAAAAAGGATCTTCCATCACACGATATCGCAACTCGGACGAGATTCTTGTATTATTCGATGTAGGTCTATCAGACTCACCTATTGACAGATCAGTCAAACCCAAGATGTATATCAAAGGTGCTTATAAATCCACGCATACTCAGTAAGCTTCCCGAACCCAACCACCTCCTGGTATACAAGTTTGGATTACACAAGGTGGTGCAGTATTATTCCTTTGCTCTGTCGGATATTGAGGTCCTTTCACGTATACTGTACGAACCTACCGAATCTCGAGCGTAGAGAGGAATGGGGGTTTGGGGGCTTGTCCCCATGAATTTGAAAGTATTCTTCTAGTTGACTAATTATAATTATAATTATGATAATAACAACATAATGCTTTTTTCTTTTTTTTTTAGAAAAAAATAAATATAAAAATTATCTTCTCATCTAGTTACTATTTAACTTTCTATAGGTAGTGTATTCCTCAACTAAGACCTCTAATACTATATCTATATTGTTTGAGTCCATAGTACAGTGAAAGAGTGTGAGAAGGACAAAGTTCTCATTATGCTATGTAGAATGTGTATGTACTGATATCTCAGTACATTTACAAAATCCCCCACATGAGTTTCGCACCAACCAGTTTCCCGATGATCTCCCAATGTACCCCACCTTACACTTCGCTTAGCCATTCGACGTTTATATTTTCAAAAAACAGCTCCTCTTCCATCAAATACAATAGGTGGTGTGGTGTAATGGTAGCACGTGACGTTGTGGTGTATTCTCATTGAATATCTACGCTTGTCCGTTTCAATCTGGGTTCGATTCCCAGCACCGCCAGGCATTCTAGCTTGGATTGAAAATTAATTGGGATGGTTTGAATCCATTCAATTCCTATGTTTCTTTTTGTCTTTTTTTGCAGTTTTTTTTTTGGTGGCGGTTGTTTGGCGGGGTTGATGTGGTGGGGTAAGCGAGTGAAGGGTGGCTCGTGCTTTTTGCTTGGTACAAGTGCGAATAATGTGGAGCGGGAACTTAAGGAAAAGTACCTACCTACCTAGTTGGCAGTGCGGGGAATGGAACTCAGATTATTTCTTTTGGTATACTACATACATAACAGCTTGAGCTCAATCATTCTTGTACATTTCTTTTTAATTGTAAGAGTACAAATCTACTCGCTCGAGTCTTGCCACACATCATAACGGACGACAAAGCGGCCAACACTTGGAAGAAATGAGAACAGGCAGGACCTCGACAAAGGAGAAGATCCTCTGGAAGTATTTTGCCCCGAACGCAATGCAGAAATGAATAACAACATTGACTCTCATCTGTGCGCCGATATGGGATCCCAACATACCTAGTCAGTCAGTCACCTTTAGAAAAAAGCATCATTTCCGATCAAGCTACCATTTTTGACCCTGGAGCTACCCTTAATGCATTGACCCAGGGCAATAGCTCATGGTCAGACTTTTAGTTATTAATGAACTCGTAAAGACCGAGTGTCATCACGGTCGCCTTCAATGGTCTTCACGGAAGAAGGTGGTCAATCACAAGCTTCTACAAGGATGTGTCATGGTTTGTGTTGGTCGATGTTGGGTTGGGGTTCCGATTGAAATATTGGCATCATGGCATGGTTACTGATAGTATCCCCTTGACTTCATTCTGTTGACCGGGTTTGGATATTAATAAGATCTATTGGTGAATATCTTTCTCCTTAGTAGTAATGACCCGAGGGTTTGGATCGAGTTGTGAGGTGCATGCATGAGGGAGCGTATGCATATTGATTGCAACGGTCTGGAGAGGGGTATCTATCCATGGTTGGTTGCTTACCGTCGATCATCCAAATTTCTGTGTTGAGTGATAATGGATGGGCGCCTAAGTGGGCAGGTTGATTATGATTATTTGAACGGGGTGCATACTCTACCTGTCGTGGGCTTACCATGACACGACAGAGTAGTATTCTGTGTTAACCTCTATAGATATCTTTTATAGGAGGTAATTGTCTGTATTGGGTAGCTATAAGAGGCGCGGAAAAGTATTCAATGGATGGTTCATTCGCACTTGATTTTTGTTTTCTCGCTCCCAATCACACCATTTCATACATAACAAACCAGTTTTCAATTACATTCACCATTTCAGTTTACCTTTCGAGGTAACTAAGAAATATGTCCCATTCAAACAACTCATCTTTCAACCCCTCCTCTCTTCTCCTCTCTCCTCTCTCCTCTCCTATTGTCTCAGCATCATCGTTCACGATTAAGCTCGACAAAGAATTCAGAGAGTTGAGGAAGGTCGACAAATGATCGACAAAATGGAACACGCACTAAACAAGACTGAAAAGCTTGTTGATATGGTCGATATGGTCGATATGAAGCTCGAGGAGATTGCCGATTCAAAAACCAAAATGGATGTGTATTGCAAGGTGATCGATATGGCGATGAGTATGGAGTTTTTGTATAGTTTTGCAAGTGATCTTGAAACTTTGATATCGGGCATTTGAATGGTTATCCAGGTGGAAAAGACCGAGGAAGTCGAAGGATTTCTTTTTAGCTTGCAGGATGAACACATTCTTTTTGGATTTAGAAACTTGCAAGAGTCAATGTGCTTAAATTAATTTTTGAAGTGGGGATTTCATAGGAGAATAGAGTGCTTCAACATTTATAATTTTGCCTAAGTATCCCTTCAAATTCTGTGCTGAATTGATGACAGATGACTCGGAGAACTTCCACGAGTCCCGATTGATTGGAATTATGATGGATATCTGAAACCACGTCTCATATTGTATGTAGTGAAGCAATTGTGAAGGATTGATGGGGAGGAGATGAAAAAGTAAAGTCAAAATGAACTGAGAAAGAAAAGAGGAAGGATTGATGAAGTCTCTGAGGATTGGGGAGAGGAAGGAGCATAGCGAAGAGAAGAGAAGATGAGAAAATAGGCGTCCAATCAAAGGATTACTAGTACTTCCCCTCGTCATTTCTTTGCAATATCAAAAATATACCTAGTCTATTTCAATTCTTCGCGGATAGCGGGTAGAATGAAGAAGGAAGGTAAGCGATGCGGTTAATGTTGCCGAGAATGAAGGGGTATTAACACTGGCATATCATTTTTATGGTGTAGAAGGGCGGTCGTCCAAGGTACCTATTATATACGAAGAAAAAGGCAAGTCTTGTGATCAATGTTGCAGAAAATGAGAGGTAAGGCTATTTATCCCAAATCATCATTATTTTTTAGCCCATGGTATCCTTTAATATGCAACCTTTTTTGACTTAGTCAATTTTTAATTCAGCAGCCAATTTTGGTCCATTAGTCCACTTTAGGGGGTATGTATGTTTTACCTAGACAGGAGCCTTTTTTGGTAGGGTAGGCTTGCAGGTCTTTCGTGCAGGAAACTTCAAGGGTCGTGAAGGATTATGTTGGGGATTGGACGAATCAAAACTGGACGACAGCCCATGTTGGAGAAGGATGAAAACCAAGATCAGAACAGCCTACTCTGTAATAAGATGATAGTGAGCCGTTTTTTGGCACTCTCAAAATTTGTTAGAGCCAATAAAAATGCTAAATAGGAAAAGGATTATTTAGGGTCGAGAAAAATATTATGTGGCAAAAACATATGTGGGAAAACAAGGATAATCTAGAACACTATTTAGGAGAGTACTATTTAGGAGAATAATATGGCGTCTTTTTTGGGACAATTCGAGACACATGCATGCAATGGGTGTTTTTGAAAATCGTAAGTTGTGGATCACATATCGCGGAGTTGCAATCGCGTTTAATACCCTAATAGGATTAGCTCTCACAAGAGTATGCAGGAGGTTGCAGGAGCTCTGCGATTTTTTTGGAGGGGGGAATGCTTTGAGGGGAAATGAAGAGCTATAAGAGAGTAAATGACAATTTAGACTAGAAAAGAGTGAAAAGCTTACTGCGGAAATGGAAGGCTTGAGAGAGTAGAGAAATGAATACACAGGAATTCTAACCCTTGTCGATATGTGATATGCGATGGCCATGCCAGAGACATCATAAATACTATTTAGGAGAACACCACTATTTAGGAGAACACTATTTAGGAGAACCACTATTTAGGAGAACACTATTTAGGAGAACACTATCTAGGACATCATTATCTAGGCCGAAAGAATATTATGTAGGAAAATGAAGATTGTACACAGCGAAACGTTCGAATCTTGTGTAAACAAATTAGTATATTATCTATACAAAATAAAAGATACAGATTGAACATTGTAAACCTCATCTAGTATATAAGAAGTGTCAATTCCACCATGAAATCAGAATTTAAACATCAATTCAATTACTTTCTATACTTGAACTTGACCCTCGATTCCGGAGCTGTATTTCACAAACACCCTCCGCCCACCCATTACTATCTATTTACTTATTAGATATTCAGTGAGCACAATTTGGATAGTGTGACTAGTTAAACATTAAATATTAATGTATGTTGATCACAATTTTTTTTTGATACATGATTGAATATATTTTGTACTGGGGGGGGGGGGCAACCCGCCATTGACCAAGGCTTATGGCCCCCACCACCCCGAATGCTCCCATGGTTGGATACAGTACTTATGCAAGCACATTTCAATAGCACCAGCCGTTACACGTACCACACAGTTGAAACCCTCAAATAAGTCGTATATCAAACCAAAAAACATTTACGTCATGGGCCTATTCGGAAGACAAGTATGTACACCCCACTCTGCTACAACATAAGCATTATTAATTTGAGATCTATAGACGTCAATAACGATACCGGCTTGTGTGACTCAAATAGTCACAATAGTAACGACCTTCCGATACGCTATAACGCCATCCGCGGAAGTCCAAATGTCAGATATTGATGACAAGCAGGCGTTAGACGCCATGACTGATGCCTTCAGTAATTGGGATCTAAATATTTCCTGTAACGATGGTGATGCAGGGACCGAACAAGAGAAGGAGCGATAAGGATGTAAGTGAAGAAAGGAAGAAACACCGGATTCTGGCTCGGGAAGATAGGGGAAATCTTGTTAAATATTGGGACGAGAACTAGTGTAGAGTGGCAAGTTACTGTTCTTTGGACGAAGGGGAGGGAACGAGTTTGTAACAAAATGGACGCTAGCGACAGCACTAGTCGAACAATTGATAACTATTTCTCATCAATTTATGACTCGATACATCTATCTCATATAGTTGAGAATGATGATTAAAATGAGTTGGCTGCATCGGGCGCGTTTACTCTCGTCACTTGAGGGCGGCCGATATCCAGCCTGCATGGTCACACGTATTGTGAGCTTATTTTCTTGGAAAGTCAAATAGTTTATATATGGTGCTGCCATGTCTTTCAGCGGACGAAGAATTTGCAAAAAACACGACACACACAGCAATAACGCCTGAGCACTCTCATGGCTGCGACAGAAAAATATAAATCAGGATTGGGGAAAATGTCCAAAAGGGCGAGTACAAACCAGGAATGGAGAGGAGAAGATTTGGTATCTTTTGTGACAATTTTGGGTAGTTGCACTTCCCCAGGTCGAATATCCAGCTCAAGATATCATGAATCGTGGTCTAGATCAAGATCCAAGATTCTTCATTGCCCACATAGAAATAAACGATTTACTCCAGATGAGATAAATAAGCTTTAGGGAGGAGAGGGGCGAGTTCCGCTTGATATTGAGATGGTATACTTCTTTTGACAAATAGGATAGGGCGAGGAGTCCTAGCCCCCCATCTTACCTCTACCGGTATATCTCCTATAAACTACTATAAAAAGCGACCAGAGTATATATAAACAAAAGAACTGTGAGATGGCTGCTGAATGCATTCCAAACCGCTCTATTTCGGTAGCA